AATGGCTTGATATGAGAAAGGGGAAATGATTTAACAAGATTTTTTTTAAAAAACACTGGGTGGATCTTTATCATTATAGGGTGGTTGTGTACACACACTGCCAACACACATTTCAGTTCAAACAACTTGTAAAAGTGCATGTCGCATCTGATGACCACTTTAAGATACATATATATGCTAGTGTTCTCCTAAAGTAGTGTGTACACGCATACACGCACAGTGTGATGTTATGTGAGTTTTTCTTACATTTATATGTATATGATGATTTGTGTGGTTCATAGAAAATGAAAAGGAGTTAGTATTATTAGTAGCTGTAATTAAGGGTCTTTTTTATTAAAGAGATTGTTCACACAAAAATTAAAATTGTTATCTTTGACTTGTCATCATTAACTCACTCTCAAGTTGCTCCAAACCTGTATGAGTTTCTTTCTCCTGTTGAGCATAAAAGAGGATACTTTGAAGAATCTTAGTATCCAAACAGTGGACGTTAGCCACTGATTTTCATAGGAAAAATCCTATGGAAGTCAATGACTGCTGTCAGCTGTTTTGGTGAACTATCCCTTTAATTAATTGATTGTTATGATTATATTGAGTTGTATTCTGTGTTTTAGCTTGCATGTATGATGGCCGGGAGTATCAGAACGGTCAGGAGTTTCCAGATCCCGCTGATCGCTGCAGTCGTTGCATGTGCAGGAATGGTCAGGTGACCTGCAACAGGAGGCCATGTCCAAACCCCATAGGATGTAGTAACCCCATCACCCAGCCGGGCCAGTGCTGTCCAGTGTGTGATGGTACCGTATAACACCGTGTCCACATTACTAGTTACAAAACCCACGACAGCCTTGTGCTTTCAAATTTTTTTGGAGTAAATAATACTGACGAGGTGCGCATGAAAATTGCATTCGATTATTTGCACAGCCCTAGTATGTATGTATGTATGTATGTATATTATATAAACTTATCAATTTTATGTATAGATCACACTTTGACTAAAATAAGTGCTACTAATGTAATCCGTCTCTCTCTCTCTCTGTTTTTCAGGCTGTATTTATGATGGCGTTGAGCACCTTGAAGGCAGTACCTGGTTTGCATCCAGCAGTCCCTGCATGTCCTGCATGTGTGTGAATGGAGTGACCACCTGCTCAGAGGTCTACTGTCTGTCCACCTGTCTAAACCAGATCAGCGTGCCGGGCGAATGCTGCCCAGTGTGTGCAGGTACAACTACAATCCCTATAAACAGTTTCATGCATGCATAGTTTTGCTTTGAAGGTCTTGAGTTTGAAATGTGTTTTTTTCTTCTGTCAGACTGTGTGTATGAAGGCCGTGTGTATGGCCCTGGAGAGAGTTTCCACCCCTCTGATGACCCCTGTCAGATCTGCATCTGTGAGGTACGGCTCATCACAACATGATGTGTGCATGTGTTGTTTTTCTTGCCTTACGGGGTGTGTGTGTGTGTGTGTGTTGTAGGTGATGCCAGACGGGGAACAGCACTTGCGCTGTTACAAGAAGCAGTGCCCAAGTCTGGTGGACTGTCCTAAACACAACATCCTATACAGTGGCTCTGACTCCTGCTGCCCTGTTTGTGCACGTTAGTATGAACACTGCACTAAACACTAAAATTAAATAAAATATAAATAATTGATGAAATTTATACTCATTTAACAAATTGTAGCTTTTTAAGTTTGTTGAAATACTAAAATAACTTTTACTAAATAAGTCTAAATCTGAAATAAAATTAAAGCTAAATATAAATATGAATAAACAATAAAAATACATATAAAAAGCATAAGAAAAACTAATAAATATGACAAAACTAAAATGATAAAAAAAATACTGAAAATAGCAAAATAATAGCCGATTTAAAGTATTAATGAATACTGTAATAATAAGTATATAAATAATACAAAAATAACTCTGATCAGTTTAATTGTTATATTTAGTTTTTCTTTCTTCATTTCTATTATTTCTATTATTTTTTTCATTTGAGGTGATAAAAATAAGTTTTGATGTATTTCAGTTAAATTTATTCACTGTCCTGTCCATGTTCATTTCTAATTTTCTTTGACTCATCTTCACAACAGTGACCCATATTGAACAAACCATACTTTATTTATGTCACTTGATTAATTCATTGGATTTTTAACATTTTATTGATCTGAAAAGTATAAGTAAATGCAAAACTGCAATGCAAGACGCTTAAATAATCACATAAATTACATAAACATTTAGTCACTTAAAACAATGAATATATTTTATACCAAAATAAGCAACCCACACCATTATTAACCCAACACACGACTGTCCTAATTTTAAATCCTAGTTCAGCTTCTCCAGATCATTTGATTTTAAAATGAATGTTATAGGATGATAGTTGTATTCTTGTGGTTTGTGTTTCAGAGCCCCTCAGTAATTGCACAGCTACACTGATCGGTAATGAAGTGTTGGCCACTGATGATCCGTGTTTTACCTGTCAGTGCAAGGTATATAAACACACACACTACTGTTTTAAAAAGCCATGTGCGTTGATATGATGTATGAGTGATGTGTTTGTGTAGGATTTGACGTGGACATGTATCCATCGTGGCTGTCCTCCTCTCAGCTGCCCTCCGGCCAATCTGCACACACCGCCGGATTCCTGCTGCCCCGTCTGTGATGGTAAAGAGTCTCTCTATCAGAAACAGTGCAACGCTGTACATGTGTGCTCATCCGTATATGTGTGTGTCTCAGAGTGTGTATTAGAGGGCAACCAAACCCGCGTGTCAAACGGCCGGAGATGGACAGACAAGGAGAACGAGTGTGTCACCTGCATCTGCAATGTGAGGAAAACTAACATTTAATTGTCAGGAAACCATTTCAGGAGAAACACAAAACTCACATTTTTGTTTGGGGGGGTATTGTTTGATGCAAACTCAGCAAACTCTCACATCAAACAAACCAAACTCTGTTGCATATGGACCAAAAGTTCTAGAGTCCCACTAACTAGTCACACTAATAGCTCTAAAAAAAATTATGTTAATGGAGTATTAAGCACATTTTGAAATGATGTACTGAAACCATGTACCAGAAACTGGAATTAAAAATTATTTAAAGCTAAATAGAAATATATAAAAATGAAAACAAACTAAATTTTGAACTTTTTGTTATTTTTGATGAAACATCTCAAATCACATTCAGTTGGTTATATCTGGAATTGTTGTTTTGATACTTTTTAACATGAAACAACTCAACCGAATGAACCAAACTCTGAAAACAATAAGTACTAAAAATTATAATAATTTTACATAAAATTTTGTCTGTTTAATGTTATTTTTGATGATAGTCAAACTGTTTAATTCATCACTGTTTTATCTAGAAATGGTTGTTTTGATACTTCTTAATGTGAAAGAACTGCCACATCAATCAAACAAACCAAACTCTGATGTCAAACAGACTTGCATCTGCAGCAAAATATTTATACTCATATTTTATTGACTTTTAATGGAGTATTAAGCACACTTTAACCCTCATCCGTCCCTCGGGTCATTTTGACCCAATACTCATTTTTAAAGATTTTTTAAAAATCGAGCGTTGATCGTTATGTTATGAGACTTTGTTACTTTTGTCACACTTGAACCGGGAATACATGAAAAAACGAATACATGAATTCGAGCAAATCCGAGCAGTTTAAGTGGGTGCTATAAAAAAAAGTATCAAAAGTGTCCATCGCAGATTTTTTTAATTTAATTTTGTCACACTTGAGCATGGAGCACACACAAAAAATTTTGAGTCGATTCGAGGATTCTATGTGGGTGTAATAAGGGTGTAATAAAAAAAAGTAATTTTCATTTTGACCCGACCATAGGAATGAATGGAATGTCCGAAAAAAAACAGCATTTTTTTATTTATTTGATTTTTTTACTATATAAAATCTGACACAATCCAGAAAAGATGCATACCCAAACAAAGGGCTGAGACTGCAGAATGTCCCCAATGCACAAAAAACTCACATACCCACACACACAGGAACACACACACACACACACACACACTCCCATTGAAACACATTATAGCATTTATATAGCATTTATGATGTTTCTGCTGAATTTTAGAATTTAGAATTTAGTTTTTTACTTGACAGTTAAATTTGAGTGATGGGGTGGAGACCAATGAGTTTATATCATATTTATATTTTAACATTTATCTTTTATATTTATTACATATTTATGAAACTGTATGAATATGCATGTGTTTGGATTAAAATTCAGTATCAATTTCTTTTTTTTTTACAAAATATATATATTTTTAATGTTTTGATATATATCTGAAAGCTTAATGAAGCCTCAA